TTGAACCTCTGGAAGTTCTCTGTCAATGTATGCTTACAGCCGTTTCTGTATTACCTTTAGCAAAACTACTCACGTGGGATATCAAAGAGATCATCCGATTATTTCTGCATTCCGTTAGGTCACCTCTCTTTGGAATGGGCACAAAACCTAGCTTCCCCAATTAAGTGCCTGGAGGTCCCTTCCTCCCCACCTGCCAGTCACTCAGTTTGTTTTGCAGCAGAGGCTGGGGCTGCTCTGACACTGCTCTGACGCTCTCTGACGCTGCTCTGACGCTGCTCTGGCTCTCGGTTCTGCTGCTTCTATAGAATCACAGCTTCCGGCCCTGTGGTGAAGAGGGGCCGTGCTCAGGGGTTTGGGGTCCAAAGGACATGCTGACCCCTTCTGGATGGTAGAGAGCCAACTCCCCCAGCCCCTGCCTGGCTTCTAAGATGGCTTGTGTTTACAATCACAGTTAACACTGTTAACCACTCACAACAAAATCCTAGCATTGTATCAGCGTCGTCTCCCACCCACCTGCTCTATCCAGATCCAGCAGAGCAATTTTGCAGAGTGTTTGCTGCAAAGACCGTGGGAATAAATACAGAGTGAAACTTAAATACCAATAGATTTCATGTCAGGAGCCTGTAATGTCTGAGTGCTGGTGTAGACAGGGGGTCTCGGTGCTGACTGGTGTCCGGGTGCTGGTAGAGGTGGGCGCTTACAATGCGGGGTCTGAGACAATCACATCATGGCGGGTCAGGAGCTCTGTGGGGACAGGTCTGGTCCCAGGGCTGTGGCCTGACTCCTTTTCTCTCTGCCTGTCCATCTAAGGTCCGCCAGCTCTTGGACACACAACGCCTGGAGTTTGTCCTCGGAGGCCAGGTCATGCATGACGAGGCTGTGACCCACATTGATGACCAGATCCTACAGCTCACAGGTCCAACCGCACAGCCCTGTACACAGTGCCCCTGGGGCCTCCAGCTGGGCTGGAACTGGGGATCTGAAGGCCCTGGTAGTGGGGACCCCAGCCAGGGATATCCCATTCAGCCAGGCTGTGTGGGTGTGGGGTCTGCAGCCATGAACCGGTGCGTGTCCTGCTCTGTTGGTCATAACACCCTGACCCTGGAATCTCCGTTCTCTAAGGCTGTTCTAATAGAATTGCCACAAGGGGACAGAAACTTACACTCTTCGGGTTTCAGCAAGGCCAGGGACAGCGGCAGCAGCTGGGACAACCCCTCACCAAACCCAGTCCTGAAGCAGGAGAGAGCTCAGCTGGGGTCTCAGAGGGTCTTGGCAGAATGAGAGACGTGGGGCCAGAGGCTCCGGGCTGAGTGAAGAGATCACATGTCAGCCGTGTCCTGCTGACCCTCATCTGAGTAGTCATTGTAGTCCCAGCTCTCTCCGCTGACTCCTCGGAGCACACCACGCTTCCTGTCCGGTCCCCCTCCGCCCCTGTGGTCCCCTTCCCCGCACACATTCTCTGTGAGGAACGAAGACCAATGCCAGCCTCTCGGAGAGGGCTGTCTGCCCTTACAGCCACCATGGGTGACTCCTCTCTACCACCCTAGGGTGCTGCCCGGTCCTGTGGTCAGAACTGGCCCAGCCCACTGAGTGGGCCATTTCAGCCAGGGAACGGAGGAAAAGTCTTTTTGAGAGCCCGATGGAGAACTAGCCAGTCACCTCAGCTCATACATATCTCATTGGCCTCTGGATCACAGGGGAGGCTGGGAGAAGTATAGTATCACTGTTACTTGCATCCTATTGGCCAGAACTTAGTCACATGGCGTCCAATGGAGGCAGTCCTTCATTCTGCTCTCATACCATTGGCCAAAATAAAGACATGTGACTTCCATTTGTTGCAAGGGAGGCTGGGTAGTCTGACTGGAAGGCCACGTGCTCTGATACCCACAGCGGATGTGTTAACAAAAGAAAAGAGAGGACAGTTGTTTCTGTCGTTAAACACCTCAGTTGCAGTGCTGTGTACCAGAGCGCCCGAAAGCCTGAATTGTTGTTGTTAGGTGCCATGGAGTCAATAACCACTCAGAGCGAGCCTGCGCACAACAAACAAAACACTGCCCAGTCTTGCACATGCTCACAATCCTTGCTGCCACAGTGCCGTTCCATCTCATTGAGAGTCTTTCTTTTCACTGATCTACTTTACCAAACAATATTCCTTCTCCAAGGACTGGTTCCTCCTCATAATAGGTCTGAAGCATGAGAGATGAAGTCTGGCCATCTGGATCCTAAGGAACATTCTAGTTGTACTTCTTCCAACACAGATCTGTTTGCTCTCTGGCAACAAACTTAATATTCTCCTCCAACACCTTAGCTCAAATGCATCAATTCTTCTACCGTCTTCCTTACCCACTGTGCAACTTTTGAATGCATGTGAGGCTACAAAAAATACCATGGTTTGGGTCAGTTGCACCTTAGTCCACACTGACATTTTTGCTCTTGAATGCTCTGAAGAGGTTTTCTGTAGTAGATTTGCTTAATGTACTACATGGTTTGAGTTCTTTACTGCTGTTTCCATGAGTGTTGATTGTGGATCCAAGCCAAATTAAGTCTTTGAGAACTTTAATTTTTCCTCCATTGATCCCGATGTTATTTATTGGTCCAGTGGTGAGGAGTTTCCTTTTCTCCACATTGAGGGGCACTCTGTACTGAAGGCTGTGGTCTTTACTGCCCTGCTCTCATGACCCGTCCACCACGCCACCCCTCCTATGGTCAACTCTGAAGGAGAATGTGCCCAAGTTCTGGGCACACTTGGTCTTCCTGTACCCTTGTCCTATCCATGACATTCGGGGCTCCGTGGTGGCACTTGTTTGAGTTCACCCCGACGTTTTTGTCTGCCTGTCCAAGTGCATACCTGTTGTCCCTGGCTGGTTGGGCAGGAGCCCCGGGTGAGTGAAGTGGTGGTCTCTTTACAGAGGGACATGGCTTTCTCTACGAGACATTCGGGATCCGGCCACGTTTCTCCTGGCACGTCGACCCCTTTGGGGCATCTGCCACGACTCCCACGCTGTTTGCCCTGGCCGGCTTTGATGCCCATCTCATCTCCCGAATCGACTATGACCAGAAGGAGGCCATGCAGGAGGCCCAGGTGAGGGACATTACCAATATGCCACTTGGTCCCACTCACTGAGAAAGCCCACATGTGGTCCAGGGTGGGCAGGAGGTTCAAACAGTCATGGACACCTGCAGGATGTGCTGCCCACACGCTGGACTTCCTACCACACTCAGCCCAGCGTGGACTCCTCTGCATCCAGAGCCTTTGTCTGCTGGGGCCGAGTCCTCCTGGGGCCCTGCCAGGAGGTAGGACAGACCCTTACTCAGTAGATGAGACTCCCACGTGGTGAGGGGCCAGGAGTGTCAGCTGTCACAGGCAGGTGGGGGAAAAGTCACCTCCCTACAGTCCTCACAGCAGCCCCAGGAGACCGCACTGTCAAAGTTACCCTCGTTTTCCAGATGGGAGGATGAGGGCCCCAGAAGGTAAGTACCCTGCCCCACAGGGACACTCTAGTCCTGGGGGGTGACAGTTTATAGAGCGGGTGTGGGCTCAGGCAAGGGAAGTCATCCTGTCCACCACTACTCTGCCATACACATGCCTACCCCTGGTCACCGTCCACTTCCACGTGCAGAAACGTCACAGAGAGAGATCCTGGCACCAGCCAGTAGGTGACAGCCAGGATCTTATCCCAACTGTGTAACAATTAGAGCTGTTAAGAATTGACTAGAAGAGAAGAGAACAAACCAGATGGCGGATCAGGTGGACGTATAGCAGAGAGCTCCGCCAACAACAACACAGAATACCCGACCAAGCAGGCTCAGGGGCTGGTCCCAGAGCTCTGAACCACATAGAAAGGAATACTTAGAAGGTTGGAAGGCTCACAGCTGGGGGAATTTGTGACAGAAACAAGAAATCTATTGCTTTCTAGTCCAGGACACTCGGCTGCTCCAGGAGCCGCCATCTTGGGTGAGACCACGTGGGGGAAAGGATCTGAGCGGCCACAGATGCCTGGCAGAACCGCTGAGATAAAGGTGTGGACATTCTTTTCTTTTGGTAGCTGTTCATTGGTCCCTTGCTGTCTGCACACCTACATTCGGGTGACTATAGGGGTACCTGAGCTAGTGGGCACCCCAGCCCCACCCTTGGAGGGTTCTACT